CAAAAGAATTAGTGACAGTACTGAGACACAATAATGCTGCACATTATCTCATATACAGATGAGCTTCACAAATATATAAAGTAGGCTTATAACTATTTTCTTCTGTCTACTGGTTCAAAAGACACAGAATTATATAACATACTTGTTAGGACTGTCAGAGATAATCATGGTTCTGTAAAATGATTAAATATCATTTGACTGTCTGAGATAGACCCATAGTTTGGCAGAATAGTATTTTATACTGGGTGATGATTGAAGGTGAAATCAAAATCCAGCTGCGGTCTAAATTTTCATCTCACCTTCAATCATCATGCAGTATAAAAAGATTGAAGTTGAAATACAAACCTGGGTTGAGACATGATATCTACCAAATATCTAACAAGTCATTCAAGCACAGACAAGATTACATAAAGAGAAGTGGAAAAAAGTACTACTTCTCTGATAGATACTTGAAGTTATCCACTGACACGAAACTATGACGAGACTAAACATTAGTATAATTGTTTTTATATCATACCGTCATTGATTGGACCGAATTGATCGGTCTCTATTGGCATATGGGTTCCTGTGAGGATGTCTCGATACTAACTGTCCCAAATAGAACGAAATGAGCATCCTGGATTCCACTGCTAGCCACGATCAAGCATTAATATAATTAGAACACAGGTAATGTCGAGGCATCCGCATAGGAGCACATATTGCCAATAGAGACCGATCAGTTCGGTCCAATCCACGACGGTATGATATAAAAACAATAACATTAAAACTATACCCGTCGCACTATTGTAGCTTGGTGGTGTAGTGGATAATGCCCTGGCGTTTGAAGCGATCGCTCCCGAGTCCGAATCTCGGTGGGAACAACATCACTCACTGGGAAGCAGGTACATCCAGCTGACGATTCCCAAATAGGACCAAATGCGCACACTGGATTCCACTGCTAGCCACGACCCATCAATAATAGAGACTAAACATCGTATAGAAATTCTCAACTCACACTGTTTATCATCAACTATGAGTGAATAACCTGTTAAGTTAGTGACAAATGTTGTGTTGGATTGGAAGTAGTTAGAATGTAGCCCAATCAAGGGGGATCCAGTCAGACTATACCTGAAATAACTTTGTTTCTTCATATGACCCAAATTAATTAGTGAGCCTGAACGATAGACTTTGATCAGTTATGAGCAATTAGAATGAGGGAGCTTCATCAGTTGTCATTCAATGATCGATTAGTTGTCAGTCTCTAGCTATAGGAGTCAAACTTCACGACCTGAATACCTCAGTGAAAAATTCCATACCTTCATCCTCTGTGTCTGTCTACTATGGTGTATGAGTTTCCAACAAATTTCAGACAAGATGCATACAAATTCTTCTATCCGAAGAAAAAGTAGGGCCATTAACAGCTAGAATAAAACCACTTACGGGAAGTTATGTCTTGCACTCAGCACTACCACATTACTTACAGTTGCATACAAAAAGGTTCATAAAATGACAACTTTTAATTTTAGAGAAGAAAAATTATTGAAGAGCTTTTGAAACATCCTAAACTATTCATAAGAGGAGTAAGATACAAGTGCTTCATTTCATAGTATGAAGCTCTAAGCAGTCATAAACTTATTTCGCACTCAAGTATTTAGTATATACAACAACAATTTCTACTCATTTTCAACCTAAATCGGTAATACTGATTTCCACTTTTGTATCGAATAAGATCTGATTCAAACTGTGTTATTATTCTCCTCTTCCTATTAATTATTGATGTAATGCAACGTTTAAGTGAAATTTCACAGAAAATATACCACAAGTTTATCTGCGATCAAACTCTTCGAAATGTATAGCTCTAATACACCATAAACTTGAGAAAATCTTTGTATTCTCAAAATATAGCCAAGTGTTTCAATAGTATTTTTCAAAATAGGTTTTATGAATTTTTAGTCATTCACAGTACACCTGTAAGGTGTGAATACAATTGAAAAACTCAATGCAGACAGATTTTAAAAATGAAAGCTTGATTTCATCAAAGCTTAGTGGCACGAACGATGAATTCACAACTGTACATTCTATTTAACGTCATACGTTCTCATCCTTATAACCGGCATTTACGCTCAATGGTATTCTGCTGTTGTCTAGTCAGCAAGAAGACACGAATGTACGATAGTTGTGAATTGGTCTAAATTTCCGATTTCACCAAACCCGCAAGCTGAGGCAATGAGACATGACATCATGTGTGGTATGGATACATACAATCAATGCTTTCCTAACGCGATATTTCTTGCCTATTACTATTTATTGATATGCTTGTAATTGTCTGTTGTTTTATTGGGTCGAATTATTAGACATCTATTGGCATATAGGCTCCTATGCGGATGTCTCAATATTGCCTGAATGTTAATTATTGTGATTTTTGGTTGTGGCTGGTAGATAACGCCTTAGTGTTTGCAGCGATGGGTATGGGGTTAGAGTCTCAGTGGAAGCAACCTCACTCACTGAAGTGCAGGTACATGCAGCTGACGAGTCTTGGATAAGACGAAACGCACGTCCTGAATTCTTCTGTTACCCATAACCAAAAAAATTACCATAATTTCTTGCTTATTTACATTGTGGTCACATCATGTCCCAAAGTCTGATGTGACATAGAGAAAGTTTGGTGCACTCTATCCTAGTACACTTTGAACGTTATCAAATGTGTCACATCGTGTTTTGGCATGCAGTGTCCTGATCAGTCACTCACATACACCTTCCCAGCTACTGTCCCTCAAACCATAAAGATTTAGGGAGGCGAAAATTAACGCACATATAGCAAGGCTGACATTCACATTAGTTTCACATATCGACAGCTAATAAAAGTAGTCATTCAACATGGATCTGGGTTAGCAGCTGTTAGTGTTTCACTGAAGGTTGGACAATATCATACTCCAATAGCCTTTCAAGACTCGTTCCAGTGTTTCACGTGTATGTGTTTATGCATAGGAAGCTGTAGTAAAGAAAACCACTTTATTCTTACAGCTTTCTCTAATAATGCTCGTCACGTGTCAATGTTGTATGCAACCCTAATCCCCATGACATTCAATTCAGTTTCTGGCCAGGTTCATAATCCAATAGCTGAATAGAATATATATTTGTTGGCTTTCACGTGAGCATTATATTGATATATTTCGTCGTTAAATTGACAACTATTGTGTCTGTACTCCGAAAATTAGCATCTACTAGGTCGATTGAATAGTTGGCTGTCTGTGAGTTGTCAGTGTTACTGCAGTTGACAGATTGATTACACTGACTGGATTCATGAAGCACACATAACGAACTGAAATGATAAGTGTTAGCGGTGTGATTTATGAGCAGCATGATATGAATGTGTTTATCTGATGCATACTTCTATGCTGTAGATTACCTGCAACAGTAACAAAACTCCTACTCGTCTTTATATCTAAGTGAAAGCTAGTCGAGACTCTGACGTTGATCTGATCAGCTATGCTGTTATGTAGCTATAATCATCACATTTTACGAAATTGAAAGTTTCCTGCAGTGAGAAGCTTCAGTTATATAGATGACCGTTGAAAATCATCCTTTCTCAATGAAATTAGACAGCTACTGGTCTCAGTGACTAAAATTTTGGTTTTTGTGCTTACAGAAACACTCTTCAACTATGATATTGTTCTCAATGGTAAAGTTGATTTGAGTCCTAAGTTCAGTGATCCTTTGCATTCTAACTTTAGTTCCTTCTGTTCATTTATCAAACAATAATAACAGAAAACGATCTACACTAGAGACACTAGGTGAATGTAAGACGTTCAGCAAGGCCAGATCAGGTCAGATCATGAGAATTATACCCTAAGCTGATGAACGATATTACCTCCTAATGAACGATGAAAGAAATGATTATTTTTTAACTGCCTGAGATATCTGTAGTTTGGTAGACTGGTATTTATGCTGGGTGATGATTGAAGGTGAAATGAAAATTTGGACCGCAGCCGGACTCCAACCAATGACCATCGAGTCACCGGCCTGATGCTCCACCAACTGAGCTACGAGGTCCTACTGACGACCAGATTTTTATTTCACTTCAATCACAAAGGGTTTCTGCCTGATCATCAATATGATACTTCCTCTCCTTGATTCGGTTAGATTTGGATTAGCATGAGAAGTTCTAACTAGGCAGTGAGTGTGAATACGATCAAACGGTAATAACGCATCATCTGTAGGACCTCGTAGCTCAGTTGGTAGAGCGTCAGGCCGGTTACTCGGTGGTTCGAGTCCGGCTGCGATCCAGACTTTAATTTCACCTTCAGTCATCACCCAATTTAAATCCAAGAATTGCTTGAAGTAATTCACTCATTTAGGGCTTAAAATGGCTATTAGTGAGCCAATCTGATTCAAAAAAGCTAGAAAACTGACAATAATGAATTAGAATAAAGACGCCTTGGAACATCTGATAAGTAACTGCAGAATTCTTGTAGATGCTGTTGTGTAGATTTGTGTATGAAGTTGAAAGAGATAAGTGATCTGTGTTACTACCATAACAACTGTTCTATCGTTTAGAAATGAAAATAACCAGCTGGAATCATCTGAAATCCTTATTCAATGTCTTGGTCATCATATTTTTCTTTTTTTATCACCCAGAGAGAATTCATAAGCATACTACACCCCAACTAAGCTCATTCCAAAAGCTTATTCTTGTCTACACAATCACACCACTTTCAAATGATACTTTTCTATCGATAGGTACAAACAGATGAATATCTTTTAGTTCTCTATAATTGTATAGTCCGATTATTACAAGGTGAATTGATGGTACGATTACTTTTGTTAATTAAATGTTGTTTTTGTTGAAAACTGAGATTACACTCTTAGAAGAATAGAACAAAACATTGGATCATAAAGAAAGAAGATAAAAGGTGAATTTATCAAGATTTTACTAACAGAATAAACATTGCACACGCCCACGTAAATATTTACTCTGCACATATGTATATATAAGTAGCTGTCTATTAAGAATTGTAAGTAACTAAGAAATGACAATAATCTGGTGTGTTGGCCTTATTCCTGCTTTTTTGGCTATCTTTGTAAAAGGTAATTCCATTTGTAAACTACACTTAATTTTGTTTCTTGCACACCATCAACCTATCATAGACTTTTCATCTCAATACTTCGGTGGCTAGTAATACTGTCCGATATTCATGATTTCAGTTAAAAGAGGTTTTAATGCTAAGAATATTATTATCAGTAATAAAAGTAGTTGCGTCATACACCACTGCGCAGATAAATCTAACCGTTGGAGACATCTAATCTATTTTACAGGCTTTTAACTTACATTCGCGGAGAAAAAATCTGTCTCTGAAGAGCAGGTATATGTAACGAAGGTAAAACTCTGTCTGTAGCGAGGAACCGTGTCTGTGTAAGACATCTGCTAAGGGATACAGACAAACGGCGAAAAAGAGTGAGAAAGGAAACATGAAAAGTGGTAAATGAAGAAGACCATTGTCAGCAAAACCCTGTCAGTAAGCGAGTTTTGGTGGGTGCAAACCAGTTGGTGAGCGACTGTATTCAGCCATGTTCAATGAGATTATCATACACATTGTCACTCACTATGATTGCTTACTATTGGCACTGATCGGCCTGTGCAGGCACCAATTCAACATACAAAAGAAAACACAGTGTCTTGCACTTCTCACATTCATTACACCAGTATCAAGAAACATAACTGACCAATGACTTTATCATACAGTTTTATCATATCCCGGGTAATGTCAAAAGATACATTCAGAATCTCATTACTCTCTTCCTCTTTTTCCATTCCATTTACTGTATTCCCTTCTGTGCAATCCAATTGAAATTATAATTGCTCAGCCGAAATAGAGAAATCGGACATCATCAGATCATATCTGCATGACTGTGCTACATTTGTGTCTAACGCAGAAGAAGAGCCGGACAGTGAGTACATGTACCATTTGGAGACGTTGGGCTCGCTCCGCACCAAGCAGGTGAACAGTTCAAACCCCGTGACACTGTGTGGCTTAACAATGTGTAAAGAACAACGATTAAAATATACTGTATACGAAAAGCTCAAAAGTGGAGGAGAATATACACGAATATACTCCGAGGAAGTCTCTAAAGTCTTAGGTAAGATATTCTTCTCAGTCACAACTGTCACTTTTTTTAACATATACGACTCATTTGCTAAACATAATTGAGCAGTGTGAATGAGCTACACAGTTTTTCATCCATTACCTTCAATGTTTCGAACCTTAGACGCTCCGAAAATGACTAATATGCATGTGGTAACAACAACAGACAACTCTGCTGTACTGCGCTGGACACTTCAAAATTACCGAAGTTGCAAGGACAAGGAGTTGGTGTTCTTCCTCTTTGGCAAGGAAACGATCATGCAACTTGCTAAGGGACAGGAGATCCGAATTCCACATCTATCATCTAATGAAAAGTACTCAGTCTACGCTTTCCCAAATAGTGTGGACAAGGAAATACGTATCTTCACGACCCCAAAGCTTGAGCTCACAATGAGTAAGTTACGATTTCCCTATTTTGTACATTACAGTAATATGTGATGGGTGGTATACTTCTATTTAACCCAACCATTAGACACACATATAACAGTATACATTGCACTGTTCAATCCAAGGGAGTCAGTCAGCACAAGAAAAATGAAACCAGCAGGGTTTACCCTCATATGACTATCTTGACTACAGACAACCTTAAGCTGCGCTCTATCTTCATTGCCTGCTGCTTGCCTCAACGAATGAGACTGTACAGATTACAAATTAGTACCCAGGCTGAACGTGTTGAGAATCTGACTAATTTTTCCTGGTGCGAATAAGTTGTCTATCTTGTGAGATTATATTCATGAAATACTACGTGTGTATCTGTCATCAGCCGATAGTACGACTGACCTCAAACACATAACTAAGCTTAAATTCTTTTCACTATGATGGGAATTGGGAAACCTGAAGATGTTATTCCTAAGGTGGAAATAACATTAAGTTCAGTAGATAAGATGATCAAACAAAGAGCTTCAAAGATGAAAACAATGTAGTAATTACCAAGTCGAAGAAAGGTGGTTCTGCAGTGGTGATGGACAAATCTGATCACATCAGGACGCTTAATCAACATATACAAACAGGACCATATGAAGAAACTAAAAGACATAGTTAAAATCTCAGGAATCAGGTAAAAAAATATCCACACTGTATCTGTTACGCAGAATAAAGCCATTTCTGAATCAGTTTAAATGGTTACTTACGCCTAATGTCGGAAATCAATAATTCCAGAAGAATGTATGGCATCATTTAGGTTCAAAAACTACAGTAGACAACAGCAAATACGCCAACTTATGAGTAGCAAAAATATCTAGAGACCATACTATATTAAATTTGAATTCGTTGAAAATCTAGACTGACTAACTGTTGTGAACATGTAATTGTTTTTTCTCCTTCTTATACTGGATTGAATTCATCAACCTCCATTGGCATGTCGACTCCGCTTCGCATGTACGTATATTGCCTGAAGATTCATGATATTACAGCTAGTTGTGGAATCCAGGACTCGCATCTCATCCTATTGCGGACTCAGTACCTGGACGTACTTGTATCCCGGGCACGGATGCTGTCCCACTAAGACTCGAACCTACCACCCGTGGCTTAAGATGCGAGACGACTTTCCAGCGGACTGGGGAAGGATGATAAACATCTCTTGTCCATTTTACCGCTTCAGATGACCGATTGAGTGAACGGGAGATGCACATACCTAACTGTCCCGCACTTGTTAACCAACTGTTCTCGACAAGACAGAGAACCAAACTTCAGTCTTCTGGCAATACAAACAAGGAGAAACTTAATCCAGACTGAGTGTTGTCACGAAGCTGACCATCTAGTGTCGCTTGTATGAATGTCGAGGGTCACAGGTGCAAAAACCGCACAGCAATCCTGTAGAACGACTCTCAGATTCTCCCTGAAACTATGTATGACGGGTTGGGTATGGTTTAGGTTGGAACCAGTCATTCGAGTGCTGCATTCCAGTGTTTTATCATATTTAGCTCAATTAACAAAGGCAGTAGTCTGCTGAACCATACTACCCAAACTTCTCTCACATTTTAATTGGTGTAGGGTCCTGAGAAGAGAAGAGAAGAATCTAAAGAGTACTGGGGTTGACGAGTACTAGTCAATGCATTTTACACAACAATTTGAACATCAATTCACTAACCGCACACTAATGTTACACGAACACACTGAGTGATCACTTGTTGCTTGAGAGGGTTGTTCCACGGAAGAATACACTTTTATGTCTCGATTTTTTTCCCCTGGAATTGAAATATTGTTAGTAATCTTTTTATTTTGTCGGTGTAATCATGTCCACTCATTTTTGTCTTTTCAACAGAATAAATATGAACACTCATATAATTGATTTCTGGTTAACTCCATTGAACAAATATCTGACCTTTCATTGTTAGTCAACACACTATTCATATACTTCTTCAGTTGATCTATTTGCTTCAAGTTAGCGGTTGCATAAGAATGCCATTTTCCTTTTTTGCTTCAACTTGGTCATACCTTACCAGACGATATCAACTTCACCCATTTCTTGATATTTGCATATTCCTTTATATTTTCTCGGATAAATTCATTGATCTCGACAGTCTGCAGTGTTTCTTACCACTGCCACATCCATTTTGAACAATAATTTGTACCCAACAGTGCTGTTTACATTTACCGCATTCCCAGCAGAAATAATCGCACTACTTAATTTGCCATGTTTAATTCACAGTACATGAATACTTTCCATTCCTTAACAATTTTATTTGTCATTATTTATTCATCAGTATAACAATTATTGTTTGACGTGTAGTTTGTCAATATTTGAAAAGATATCACATATACAGCACTATCATATCAATATTGTTTTCGACGTTTTCATCAAGCAACAGTACAGTCTATGTTTGAAAAGCGAGCTAGGGTGGACATGTAGATTAGGAGATTCTGGTTCTGAAAGTTTTAGGCAAGTCTTAATCCGGCTGTGAAGTTTTTAAACTTGATAGGGCGGTCGAATCCAGGGAGTTATGAAACTGGGAGAAGAGCTTGAAGTATTGACTAATAGTGTGTCCATAGAATATTATGATTAAACAGGAATCACCAGCTCTATGAAATCAGTTATGTGCTTATTGATAAGAAGGAAAACTCAATTAGTTCTCACGTATGCTTAACCTAAATGTTACACTTTCCACTGCTCACTGAATTTGTGATATCGCAGTGACGATGTGGAGAAATTTCAGCTCTCATCCACGTTAAGCAGTTTTTCGAGTTCACGGATGTTCAGTCCTTATGAATCGTCGTAAACGTCGACCACAAGTGACACAATGGTTGGCGAATTCATTTGTTTCTCGACATTTAGTCATTGAGAGACGTAGTTATGACCATGTGAATGCAACATGTTGAGAAACGAAAAAGGCATTGAAATTGCAAAATAGACAAGATAACATCATGTGTGAACACGCACAATCTATTCCACTCCTCAAATCGAATCACTGGTTTACTCAATTTTTCCTATATGACCTGTCAGTGGAACTAGAAGGATAGCATTAAATCAGATGCAGAAGTGGAAGAGGCTGCAGGTACCCATGTGGTACATCAGGCTGAACACCAGTGAAATTGCTGGTCCCTCAGAAATTCTATCAGTGGTTTGTAACGTCGTGAAGGTGTTGCCCACTATCACTCACTTAGAGTTAGTGACGAGAAAATCTGCCTGGAAATCGCAAAATTCTGAAGAGGCGTGAAACAGGATGCAGAACAAAGCGTTTTTCACTGTCATCCCTCATGAGAAAGCGTCTTGAGAACAGCCAGTTGAAGTAAACTAATGCGCTAACTTCATAAACATTTCTTTATCCAGTTAGTGCTAAAGATGTCACTAGATCTAGTGATGAAACTTTCACGACAAAGAATTGAAGCTCAGAGAACACTAAACCACCATCATCCTCATCCTGAGCTACAAATCTTTTCCATCATTTCATAAATGATGGGTTGCAGTTCATTTCATCCGCGAAAATGTGATCTTAAATATGACCTGACAAATTTAAACAGGTTGGCCATTCATGAGATATACAGACTGATGATTTTAGGTGAAACGGAGTCTAGACAAGCAGAGACGGTTTCTGGCTTGTTAACCTTCTGGTCTTCGTTCGACAACGGGGAGAAGAATACCATTAAGATTCCATTACCGATCCTAAATCGGGTCATCTGGACGAGAACAGATAGAATGCATGAGTTATAAAATGTCAAATCACTGTAAAACGTAGCTATTCACAGAGAAAGTGCAGTACACTCATCTCTGAACCCAAAATTACCTCATGTAGTAACCGCACACGTGGAGTTGTCATCTCCTACATTCATTCTCTTACTATCATAAATTCACAGACCTTCACTGTATTACTGCTATAAGCATTCAAATGATGAAAAATTTGAGTCTCCGTCCTTATCATCCACTCAGAGGTGGATTGCTAGGACCATTTCAGTCACCAGTCACACAGAACTCAACAGATTTTGTTCACCCTGAAAAAATCTTTGAAAAAAACTTGAAGTGTATCCATTCAGAGGAAGAAGGAGGCGTCAACACCGTTCATCTTTGTGAAAGCCAGACTCTGTGTAAGAAGGGTGTTTCATTTTCCCCTCTCATAAAGTTGCAACACATTGCAACCATAACTCCTCACAGACCTAGAATAAAACAACATTGCAGGAAGAAAACTAGTTCTTTCAGAGAAGATCACAGAGGAAGTGTTGGAAAAGGCTATAATCTCGGAGAAAACCTATAACATGTTAAGTAGTACTATTTAATCGCTGTACCATTTTACTTTGTCTATAATTAAATGTATTCGACTTCATTATCATTGTGCTTTGGGGTTTCTTCAACGATTCGATTGGTTTTACGGGTTAGGGTTGCTAGCCCTATGCCCGTCCTTCGCTCTTTATCCGGGCTTAGGACATGAAAGTAACTAGTGAACTAGTTAGCAAGGCGACTAACTGATTTACAGATGATAAGAATACTTAAATACCCTAGTGACCTATTTCATCAGTTCGATGGTGACTACTATCAGTATCATATATTTTTTAGTTTGTTGGTTGATTGCTTTAATGGCGAATGAATTCGTTGACTCCTGTCTGTCTTCTCTTTTAATTTTCAGAATTGATTGGCTAGAAAAGGGAATCACTTGGAGCACTCAACAGTTGTACTGCATGAGCATAGTTCCAGTTCACAAAATCTATAGACTGAACTAACCGACTCAGCTGAAAACTGGAAACCAGGGCACGCAAGACAGCGGTTTTTATCTAGTCAAAGACACTTGATTGGTTTTCTGACTTACGTTCATCTGAGCTCACCATAAGCCAAATATCAATCGATCAACAGGAAGTCAGTGGACTGAATGTCAGATTTTCCCTTATCACTGACTGACTTTCAGATAGGTTTCCCAAAGCTACGAAATCTTAAGTCAAGTAAGTCAATGGTTAATAAGAATGTGCATAAGTGAAACAAACTGTCGGGAGATAAAAATTACCTTCAAACAAAGTTCAAGGCATTCTTGACTTCGGTATATGCCGGCTAAGTTCATTTGAGTTGCATCATGTGATTAACTGGTGAGATCAATAACTTGGATAAATATAAAGAGCGTTTTTCTTGTTAAAGAATCGTTTTGCAGTCGTACCACTGTCTTATCAAAAAAAAATAAGCCATTATGTTCATAAAGAAATGAAGCAAACATCATTTTATTAGTTGTTGATATACTGTGAATTCTCCGTTATTGTACTGCATCGAATTGTACCAACCCTGTTGGCATATGGGTAAGTAACTGCGTGTCTCGATATTAACTGACTTTTCGTTGCAATAACGTCTCCTGGTTAACTAGTTCAATAGTTACTAGCAGGCACTAAACGCCGAAAAAGAGGGAAGGTTGGGCATACGACTAGCAACCCTACGCCGTAAAACCAATCCAATCGCTAAAGAAACTTCAAACCACAAAGTAAATATAAAACATAAAATTAAACTTATTCCTCACTGAAATCATCGAGGCGGAAATATGCCAGTTTGTGAAAGTCTTCGGGAAACCAATTGGCCCATATGTCTTCTCTCCGTCGATAAACGCGTAAGTAAACAATGTCTGAAACTAGCTGGCGAAGCTGTTCAGATTGCAAAAGATATGAGAATATATAGCATAGAATTGATAAGAATCTGCGAGGAATCTGCAGATGGAATGGAAGTGGACTATCTCAACTGTCAAATGGAGAGTCAATAATCTACTCCGGTCACCCAGACGACAACCACGAGCACACTCAGGAAGTGGCTATCATGATATCCCTAAGATTATCGAAGCCTCTCAGGCAATAGGAACCAATCTCCTTCTGCAGGATCATGACAACAAGATAGGAAGGTCACAATCATTCAGTGCTACAGTACGCACCTAGAAATAATGCAGATCAAGAGAAGAAGGAGGTGTTCTACAGACAACTGCAATCAGTAATGGACAAGACCCCACTCCAGTCGGCAACATCAAAATTCTAATGGGTGGGGTGACATGATCACCAAACTGCGAGGAGAGGACAACACATGAAGAGAACAAGTCATGGGTCGAAAAGCACTTGATGAAATGGTGAATGAGGATGGACAACTGTTTGCAGACTTCTGTGCATTCAACGATTTGGTGATTGGAGGCATTGTTTACATTGCACACACACAAGGATATTGACGAAGCGACATGGATTTTACTAGACACCAGGATACACTAAAAATCAGATCGACTTTATCTCAACCTCAAAAAAGTGGAGACGCAGCCTGCTTGACACAAAGTCAAGAAGGGAAGCAGATGTAGGTTCATTCTACTCACTATCTAGTGCAAGGAACCTACCTTCGAAATCAAGTTGAAAGCCTTCAAAGAAGTTGGTGATAGACTGAAACACGAAACTACAAAGGACATCTTCAAGTCAGTCATCAGGACAAAATGGGAGACATTGAGCAACATCCCCGAAGAAACCTCCATGGGACCGAAACTCTTGAAAGGGAGGCCGAAAGAAACCTGCATAACCGTATTAGGAAGGAGAAGGAAACAAGACAAGGAATGGTTCTCGACGGACATATGGAAGCTGATAGAGCAGGGAGAGGAAGATGCTGATTGTGAAGCAGAAGATGAACCAGTGCAGTGCAAGGATAAACAAAGAAAAGAGGAAATGACAACACTAAGTCAAATAACCAAAATACTATCTGGGAGGAGATCAAGGCAGATGAGACCAATGAAAGATAGTGCAGGAAATCTAGTTACCAAAGAGGAGAAACAAAGGAAAGAATGGATTGACCACTTCAAAAAACTCTTGAATCGACCACTACCTGCAACTCATCCGAAAATACCATCAGCAACGGCAGAAATACCAGTGAACACAGGCCCTCAGACAAAAGCAGAAGTTTTGAATGTCATAAAGCTGCTGAAATCCAAGAAAGCAGCAGGGCCAGATGGAATTCCGCTAGAAACACTGAAAATCGACGCAGAGACAACAGCAGGCATGCTTACACCACTATTGCAGAAGGTTTGGAAGAAAGGAAAGGTACCTGCCTGCCGATTGGAAAAACGACTAACTCATCAAACTCCCAAAGAAGGGAAACCTAAGTCTTTTCAAAAACTGATGGGAAATCATGCTCCTGTTCAAATCGAGCAAAATATTAAGCCGCATCATCCTGGAGAAAGAGACTAAAAGATGCTCTCGATTCAGAATTATGACCGCAACAGGCTGGATTCAGGAAGGACAAATCATTTTCGGATCAAATTGCCATGCTACGCTATGCATCATCATAGAACAGAGCTTAGAATGATAGTGAACACTCTACCTCAACTTAGTCGACTTTGAAGAGACCTTCGAT